AGTGTTGGAAAACGCATTGCTCAGTGCTTAAATCACACCAGATGGCTCAAGAAGCGACGCAAGAAGTAGGTAATCTGGATTTATAACCTTGGACATATGCTGAGTGCAGGGGCATCTGTTGTGATGAGCATGGCAGCTATTTTAATGAAGGCAGGAACTCTGCGCTAAGATCTGATACAGATCAGGGGAGCTGTAAACTTACTCTGAGTATTGCCAAGGCTGCTCCCGAAGTAGCCTTGTGTTGGCCTTGCAATCAAAGAGGGACTTTGAATCTTGCCTTCAAAAGAGACAAAACTTATGATGCTGCTTTTCTCAAACTTATAATATGATATTGACCCAGATGATCATCATCACAGTTTCTGTTGGTAGTTGCACCATCTTTGAGGCTGCGTCACTGCTTCATCTTTTTTATTCAGACAGGTGAAAACAGCTGCCATGGGCTGCTAAACACAAAAGAGACAAATGGCATATGAAAGCTTTTTTTGTCAGTGAAAAGCAATTGTCTGTTCATGGAAAAAAGGAGCTGGTAATATAAATTTGTCTTATATTTAGTAAACAATGCCTCTTTTTGTTAGGCAAAACTGCCTTCTAGTTCCTCAATTACTGAAACACAGTCTAAAAAGATAGACCACACTGCATAATTACTCTAAATATTTATCAGATTCTTTTATTCACTTCTCAGTTTCTGATCATAATATTTGCCCAGTTAAATAGATTTTTTTTAGATGTAAGACAGCAGTGTATTCAGCTGATTTATTTCTCCCTGTCACCTCTTGTATTTTTCGCTCCACAATGTTGCAATTTGCCCTGACAGCTTTAACATCTTATCCTCACACAAAAATGATGTCACAGGCACCTGAAGAAGCCTCTCTCTAATGAGGGTCTCACAAGCAGAAAAACAAACTTGTTACAGAGAGTATTAACAACTATGTCATGTCCACATTGTACTTAGTTTTCCAATTCGAGGATGTGAGTCTTTAATAAATGGTCATGAAAAAAGACCAAAGTCTGACCCTTATTTTGGACACTTTTATTAAGTCCAGTTGAACTGTACTTAACATTTAATCTTAATGACTAATAGCTTGTTAAATGACTCAAAGACGAAGACATTCAGTTGTCTTTTTGCCTCCTCATAAGAAAATGCAAAAACGGCTAACAACAGCCTCTATCTGATGTGTAATTGTATGACTCAGAATGGGAGTGCCTCAGTCATAACAAAGCCAAATCCTCATTAGTGATCTGAGCTGTCAGCTTCAACAAAGTCACTTCCCACACTGACTTGTAAAACAATGCTTTATGTCCTGTCTGCAAGGTAAATGGGAGGAAAGAGGTTCTCTCCTGTCAACACTCAGTTTTTATCTAATTTGACATTACGTTTCAGAGAATGCAGATAGATAAATTACCCCTCTACATGAGCTGAATTCAAGTTACCAAATATTAACCTTTATATATTTAATATAGTCCATTTCCAAACCCATATGATGTAGACATTTGTCACACCAGATTCATGACTAATCCTGCCAAATGTGAATCGGGATGGGTGTCAAATATTTATCCAAAAAATGAAAAAAATTAAATGATTTAGTGTGTTTTACAAATAGGTTTTTCATTGATATGAGGTGTGTTTTTACATCCTCCGGAGTTCAGCCTTGAATTTCATTGTCCTTTACGAGCCTTGGGAATGTGGACCGCACGCTTAGAAAACCTTTGCGATTTACAACACATCAGAAATATTGGCAACATTTCTCTTTTCCAGCACAGTAGCTTGAAACGGTGTAAATTAAGGGAACTGAGTCCAGTCCAAGCGACAACACTTCCACCCAGATAAGTGATCCAAAGATGGCAGGCCGTGAATCTTGACCGATAAATACCCTTGGCTCTATCAATTCCTCTCAGCCCTCTGTGGTCAGATGTGGTTTATGTGAAGCAGCTACAGGAACAACAAACTCGGAGAGGAACAGCTGCTTTCTTGACACTAAAAGGCCCTTTAAAACCACAAAACTGAGTCGTAAAGCTTCTGGATACAGACATCTGGCTGGAAATTTGCAGAGCTTCCTAATGTAATTCAGATGGTTCTGACTCAGTACGTATTTCGCATTTTGCAATATTTCCAGAGAGTAGTTTGTACAGATTGCTGCTTAGAGTGTGTCTCATATGCCTCTCTCCATCTGTGATGCAACACAAGGGTGAAACCTGATTTTTAGTTTAATCCAGCATTTTGGACACCTACCTCCTGACATTCTGAGCCTCACAGCAGGTCTTTCAAATTTCCGACTCTCTTTGAAGTGTAATTAATTTAGATGAAGATCCAGTAGAGGCAGTGGAACTGAGGAACAAAGCAGAGAAAAACTCAATTCTATTTAACTGGCAAAAAATAACCATGGAAACAGCATCTCTTGGCACTCTGGCTTTAAAAGTGACATTTTTGTTCCTTTCAATGAAGGCGACACACTTTAATTGATTGTAGGACAGTCTCTGTCACAAACATTCAGGGTGACTGCTGTTCCCTCTCGACATGGGTTTGCATGCTGAACACAGCCAGCGAGTGTTTGGACAAGAGCAGGAATGTTTGACTTTTTCTAAAAATTGCTGAAAGCTTTGAACAAGCTGGCATGTGACCCTGTGGTCACGCTGCTACAAGCTGTAACATTTACCAGACAGCTAAATTTGTGTGTTTGACAACTAAAAGAGTCTGATGTTGTATTGTCAATTTGTTAATCAAATTAGAAGGCAGGTTATGACCAGAACATCTGGTCTCTGTAATATCACTCATTATCAAGTTCCGCTGTGTTGCTATAGGAGCAGTGTTAAAGCTCCAGGACTCTTTGTTTTAATATATTTTGATGGAAAA